TACATTTCCTTTGTCATATTATATTTCTGTTACATCCTGCATATATTATCATAACATTCATAACACACAAACATTGAACACKCAACATTTTTTCGTATAAAATAATTTAATTTATTTGCTATTTAAATTATCTAATAATTATTTAAAAGGTAACAATTTTTTAACGTAAAATCGTAAATAAAACGAAAGTGACTATAATGATGAACCTTGTGTTAATAGGTATATTGTTTGATATATTTTATACGTTAATATTAAATTATAATTGACGTACTTAGGTAATTGTATATACAATTTATTATGATTTTCATTAATGTGTAATATATATAACATGTGTATAACAATTATATTCAATATAAATTAATTTATACGCTTTACGTTAATATCTGAAGCGGATATGGTTTGTACATTAACATGAAAAAAAAGCTCATGTAATAATAATATAATAATAATGCTATTAAGTGGTTTTCTACATTTATGATAGGTATACATTTATTTGATAMATATTATAGTGGTTTAATTGAGATAATAAGATAAGCAAAAAATAATAATGCGAAGGTTGTTTGATGGAGGAAATTTGTCATGCTTAATAATTGATAAATAATAATGATTAACGAATAATATCATAATTAATAATTTTCATTCAACTTAACCTACAGTATCAAGTATTCTCTTGCATAGTTGCATTATAACCAACAGATTACTTGGTCGACTAAATAAAAAAGGGCCCCTCTATTTAGGTTCAATTAGGAAGACGTGGAGCCTTGAACATATTTTTTCAATAAATTTAAAGAGGACCTAGTCAGCGATCGTCGTCTCACCGACCTGGCCAGGCCGCCTCTGGTTATAACGATCGTAGTTATAAGTTATGATTCATTAGACTCCCTATTCCCGAACAATGAATAGCAAGYGAGATCTGATGATTTTCATTATAAACTCGTCACTTTTCACTGATTTTAAATGATCATATTGCTTAGTTCACTATATTATCCACAACGTTATAATAACACAAAAAAAGTTTTTTAGTTTCAAATAATACGCTGATTTCTCTAAACGAGTATCTGAATAAATATTCCAAATAAATTATATTTGCACATATTTTGATATAAAATTTAGTTTATTTAGAATAGAGCCAAGAAAATATTGTTATGTCTTACATATTTTCACAGGCTTAAAATCAGCTTCGGTAATAAGCAATTCTTACAAGTCAATCATTTCCACAGTTATAACACCAATCTGGCAGTCTTTATAACTACCCAACAAAACAAATTTAAAACTGTAATATTGATTACAATATTATATTATTACGTATTGATTTAATCTAAAGTAGAAAAGCAAAAATAAGATTTTGGCCTATGTCACCGAGGGTATATTTCGTGTTAATAAAAAAAAAAAAAATACGAGTAAGATTTGAAAAAAACGTCATCATAAATCACGAAGTGTAGCTAGATTCGCAGAAGCATATTATATAGAATTTGTGTATTCAAAATTACCAATAATTCTTTTATATAATACTAACCCGATGTTTCTATTTTTTTTTTGCTACATCTGCTTATACTTTATATTTTTATAATAATATATTTAACATAATAACGATGGAATGTCATTCATTCTCTAAACAAGGATTGATCGCAAAATTACCGGAACACCTTTCAGAATCTTTGAAATGCAACAGATACTCGCAACCATCACCATCAAATTCGTCATAAAACTCGAAAAAACCTTTAAAACATTATATAAAAAAACTTTTATAAATATGCACACAAATTTGTCTCAATATCATTAAAAATAAAATGTCTATGCAAATAATATGTAAGCCAATGTCCTATGTCCCCGAGATTAATTTTTTATCATAATAAAAAAAAAAATTATGTATTTGATATTAAACTATATAGTATCTCACCATACTATTAATATAGTATACTGCACACGGACATGGTATACTTATGATACATATACACAATAATTAATAGTAATAACTTATAATATTATTATAATTGTCGTGAATATTTTATGTAAGTTTGAAACGAGATATTTTGTGTGCCACTGGACTTGTTCCCCGTCGGAAATCGTATCGTAATCGCACACCTATGCACAGAACACTGAACAATATAATAATATAATATTATCATAATATCTCATACACACGGCGCGTGTTCTTATAGTGTTGCAACTGCAATAAACAACGCGTCGCCGCCGCGCGGACTAACCGACGAATAGTCATCGCCAACACCGCCGCCGTGTGAGGTGCAGCGAGGGCGTTTAATTATGATTATTTATCATCTTTATTCCGCGGGCGACCGCCGAAAACTTTCGACCATTGTGCGCAATAATGGTGAAAACACAATAACATAATAATACTATACCACGTGTAGGTGTATAATGTCTGTATGTGTGTACAACGACACATATTGGAAAATTTCGAACCAAATCCCTTTATCACACCTATAACAATAATAATATATACTCACGGCGCCGCAGTATGTATATAAGTGATGGTATATATGCACACTGTGCACGCCGAGAGGAGGTTCGCACATACTATAATAATATGTTCATAGTGTTATTATTACAAGTATCGAGCTTAAATCATAAATCGTCCTTTTCACACTCTCTATTTCTCTCCGTCTCTCTCCCACCCGCCACTCTGTCACTCTCGCTAGTCCCTATCTTTCTCCCTTTCTCAATATCGCACACACATACCTTATATATGCTGCACTGCATGTGTGCACCACCCCTGCGTATATTATTATTATTCACAATATACCGAACCCCCGAAAACGCATCACACACGTCGTTCGCGTATTATAGCGACAACAATAATATCGACATATTGATACTCTAATTTAATACAGTGGACGAGTGGCGTGCGTTATTTATTTCCAGACACCTCTTGTCCGGTCGAATATGCAGAAAATCCGTACATTATAATATTATACGGTCAAAAAAGGAGCGCGCGTGCGCCGTTATTATATTATTGTTGTTATTATTACAGCGAACCCGCCACTCCATCAACTTATATACGGCCCTGACCACCCACCCCCTCACAACCGTGTAGTTTTCACGCATATATATTGCATTATTTATATTATGCGCATGTATATATAATATTTTAACATTTATTAATATAATATAATATATATATACACGATGAGCTGATGGTGTGGCTTTATTATTGTTATTTCGAGTGTTTTCAATTTCTCCACAAACACCCCCCCCCACACTCTCACCCCAAGGACCTTTATTATGTTAACGCCACCGACACGGTACGTGTTATGTGTGTGCGCCCGCTATTCAATAGAATTACGAAACTACCGCGTGACGTTTTTGTATATATTATTATTGTTATTATTACTGTACCTATATCTACACCGACTATATGTAATATTGTAAACTCGTATAATATTATGCTGTATAATCACACACACACACACACACACACAAACACGTGCGTCAACGCGATTGGGGTATAGGTATATAATATGTTTGTATATTATACAATACATATACCATTTGTAATATGGCCGAGTAGTTATCGTATATCATCGTATTGTAAGTGGTTATAATATGATATTGTATTATTTTTACGGTTTATGAAAAATGTTTTTTTTCTTATGGCATGAGGACCGTGACAACAAGTTTCTGAACAGATTACCATCATACTACTGTCTACTATGTTGTGCCTAGGTGGTACACTGTAGTTCCGTTGTTACACTCATCCTCTTGAGGCCCAACTATGACTTGATAATACTGTAGTACTACGAGCTCAATGCCCATTTCAATTGATATATATATTTTTAATTTATCTGCGATATTAATTATTATCAACTGCTGAAAAAACAATTATAGTATTATTTTGTCACTCGACGTCCATTATGTTAGGCACGTATTTATTATTTAACATCAAGAACTTGATATTACATATTCTAATTTCCATTCCAATGGATTCTTTTTWGTAAATAATGTTATCAGATAAAAGTTATCTAACAAATATTTTTTCCTAAAAATGTTTACTTATTTAAGTTTAAATATTCAAATTGTGGACCTGAATGAGAATAGGAAAAAACTTTCACTGTAGTGACTTACCATTTACATTTTCTATATAGTCTAGTTCTGTTTAAAGTTGCAAGCTATACCTAATTAATCAGTAATTATTCAAGAAAATTATGACACTTTTAAATATTTGTTCACGTGCGGGGTCAACGAGACAAATGAACTGTACAAATGAACTGAAATTCAAAATTAGTTAATATTTTACCCAGGTAGTTCAAAGTGTGATAAGCAATGAAGTAACAAATAATATACGTATGTATTATAATAATAATTAATCATTAATCATCAAATATGGTAACTGATTATTTCAAATTATATTTATAAAATATATTGATACCAAATTAAACTAAAAGTATATTCCAATATGTTGACACGTTATAAGGATAAAATAMTTACACACGAGCAGTACCCAACATATACGCCAATTACTAGGTAATTATTTATATTGTTAAACAATTTGATTGACTTTGGTAACGATGGAAAAATATAAAAATAAAGAGCGTGCTCAATCATAATACTAAAAATGTTAGGTGCATTATTTTCTTCATAACTCAAAAATTAAAGTGGAATCATTTTCACTATTAACAGTGATTTTGACATTCACAAACAAAAGATTACATATCATTATMAAATCAGTACATTCAGATCTCCACTTAGAACCTTAAACATTGTTTCAACGATAAAAAAATTAAAAATTATAAGAAATCTTATGTTGTCTGTTAACTATCTACAATTTTTGAAATGTTCTAATTTAAATTAAAAAGTTCCATGTWCGTGAAATTTAAAACTTTKTCTGTAATTTAATATGTCACAATTCATTTGTATACTCCTATAATCATTTAAAAAATCAGTGTTGAATTTTATCTTACCTTCGAAAGTTATATAATTAACATTACCATGAACCGTTGGAATTAGAAAATCATGTTAGAAACAAAATACACAAAAGATATTCATTTTCTTTTAGTCATTTTTATTTTATAAGGTTTTGGTGTTAAAAGTATACCACAATTTACTCCATCAGGTAATTGATCTATTTCGATTACAAAATCGTGTACTAGGTTGGCAAATACTAAATTAACAAACCGCTGTGCCAACGCTTCACCAGGRCATCGTCTTTTTCCTACAAATAAATAAACAATGACAATATTATTAAATATTATATCATATTATTAATTAATTAAACAGTTTACCAAATCCAAAAAAGTACATGTCTTCAGTCATATTAAGTTTTCCGTTAGTATCCATAAATCTCTCTGGGCGAAAAACTTCTGGATCACCCCATTTCAGTGGATCGTGGTGTACTGAATACAAACTCATCAAAAGAGTTGTATTCTAAAAATAAATATAGAAACATTGTTAAAAATTCTGAAACTATTATTTATGAAGTTTAAAAATTAAAATACCAAAACAAATTTAATATTGCATGGAAAGGATAGTAATGCATTCAACTAAATTTTTGTACAAGGGAGACTATCGTTGAAAAATTTGTCACTTTGATACTTAACCGATTGTGATAATACGATATGGTATTGAAATAATTTTACCTTAGGTAAACTATATCCATTAAGATTTGTATTTCTTAATACACGTCTAGGACCTATGATTGGTGTTACGTGATTAAGCCTTTTCGTCTCTAAAAGCACCGCTTCCACGTATCGATTTCTAATAAAAAAAAAAAAAAATAGATTTAATATGAAAATAATTATACTTGATAGTTGATAATGTCAAACATTATCCATTCAGTTTATTTTACTTAAGAATCTGTTCAGCTGTAATATACGTCCCTGGAGGTTGGATTTCATCCAGAGTAGATTGAACTTTAGCCTGGACATCTGGCCATCGTGCCATGGCCAATATAGCAAAATCCAATGTACTACTAGTTGTATGTGATCCAGCAATAAATAAGTCCAAGCAAACAGCTATCAATTGTTCTTCTGAAATAATTTATACGTTTTAATATGTATTAGAACGAATATAAATAATATCAAAAGAGGAGCGGTCCTTAACCGACTTCGCATAGGACACACCAGAATCACCCATGGTTTCCTTATGTCAAAAGAGGATCCCCCTATTTGTCAAACCTGTGGTACTGCATTAACAGTAAAACATATAATAGCCGACTGTCTAATCTACAACCAAGAACGCGCCGAACATAAAATATCATTCAACCTCGACTCCACACTCGGACCTATTCATGATAACCTAGATATAATTATTTTTTTAAGAAAAACAAAATTGTTCAATCTTATATATATATAAAAAAAAATGTTTTATTCAAATTAATAACTTTCCATTGTATCAATACATATTATATTATATAATTACTGTATACATAAGTGTAACTAATGGCCTTTGTTGTCGATGTAAATATACTTAATAAAAAGAAAAATAATAATAATAATATCAAAAGTGTTGTTAATACCTAAAGTATAGCAATATAGTATTATTATTTGTTGTACTAGTATAAAATAAATTTTTATTTGTATAGAATTATTAATATTTTATCATAATAAAATAGATATTTTCATAAATTCCATTGATATTAAATTAATACAAATTATGGAAAAAAGACATATAATATAAATGTATTAGAATACCTACTAGTTACTTATACTTTTAAGCATATAAATTATAATAATTTAAGTCGAATGTATGCTTTAAACTAAAAGCTAATTATAAAATTAATAATTAACTACTAACCAGTAAACATTGTATTATACATTTCTTCTTTTTTCATTTGATGTAAATATGCGTCAATAAAATCTCTGGTAGTGTCAGTTATCGTTCTCTTGTGTTCAGCAATATTATTCTATATGGAATATGTATATTAAATATTATACAATTTTGTGTATATTATTATTATTATGTTTTATGTTATATGGGTTAATATTAATAAAACAATCTATCTATTCTATCATAAATAAATATTGAATTTTGTTGAAATGTTTTAGTGAATTTACTTCTGACGAGGGAAGAGAGTACTAAAAGTTGATGAATCAYAAATAGAATAATATGTAACTATTATTGAATATCTCTAAATTACAATCGTAATAATACATCTATTTTAATTTATAAATATAGAAGAAAACTATTAAAAATTATAGTTGTTTTAAAAATTAGAATTCTTAAATTATGTATAAAAACGCAGGAATAGTGGAAACAAAATAATATACTATCATAATATAAAATTAAGTTTAAATCGAATAAAAAGTTATAAGATGCATTAAATGCAAATAAAGCGGGCTAGAGGGCTTAAACTCCCCCCCCCCCCCCTCAAAATGTCAAACACAATTTGAACTGATATAATAAGATGTAAGAAAATAATCATTTAAACCAGATCTTACGGATATCAAGGAGTAAAGTTGCTGATTGATATCAGTTATGAGTGAGAACCCCGTCCTGTTGGGTGCCAAATACCGWATCCAAGGTATCTGATTGAGCAGCCCACCGGCCATGTCGAATGCTGAACTCCGTTTCCTCATCAATGCTAACAACTTAGGGTCTTCGAACTTAGTGCCGGCTGTCAGCTCCCACAAAACATTCATTACAGCTGATTGCAAGTATAAGGTTGGCGTYACACTTTTTGTCGCATCAAGTAGACGTTTTACCATGTTTTGATATTCATCATAAATCAACTCGTCCACCCTTCTCTGTCCTAAACCAAGTACTTTCAAATGTCTRACCGCAAATGATCTGTGTACTTTCCAAAGGTCTCCATCAGTCATTGTTATACCTATTTTTAATATAACCATGTCTATAATTAAATACTAGGATTTGGACTATTTGGGGACACCTACATAGATACGGGAATTTTTATTATTATTTTTTTTTTTAACAAAATTTGAAAAGTTCATATACAGCTAAAAAATTATTTCAAAATACGAAGAGTTAACCTTTATTTTAAATCTAAATGTTAAAAATGTCTCAGTTTGTAAATAATTATTTGTTTATTAGGTACATAATATATAAGTATAACATATCATTTCAGATTGCTAATATGAAGTATATATTGATTGTGTAACTATTCTAATTTTTTGACACGTAACTTTATTCATAATACCTATATTTAATTATTTCTTCAAAAAAATAAAATAATTCCGATGGAATCAAAAGATCTTGCGGTCAACATCTTATTCTGTATTACATTTTAAATTACAGTGCACGTAATATTGTATAATGTATTTTCATACTATAAAGTAATGAAATACCGTCAATGAGAAGGTCTCATTCAGGAGAGTTCATAAGAAATAATTTTAAAAAATACATTGAGTATTGACTTATAAAGTATTGAGTATCAAAATCAAGATTATTGGCATCACTATCAGTTAAAACAATAGTATCTGCTATAATTATTATTTGATTTAAAAGGCGTTTTATTATGTAGAATTGCATTTGTACATTTTTTAATGATTACATAAAATATTTTATGTAATCATAATTTATAACTTTGATATTATATTTTACCTCTACGTTTGCCCATCGTCCGGAGTCTCATAAAAAAATTATCAGGCCGGCCCTGAAATTCATCTCTATGAAACGTTTCATTCAATAGGTTGTTTCCGAACACAATAACGACGTATTCACGTCCTAATTTCAACCCAATGATGTCAGAGTTGTATCTTTGACGGAGCTCCTCTAATGCCAAATACTGACCATTCTTGGTAGCCGCCAATTTAGCTAATTGGTACGTATTTCCCACAAACGGTATCCACTTCGGCCCTAAATATACATATAGAGAAAAAATCAAACGTCAATTAAAATTTTGTAGTAGGTATGAAATTAAAAAAAAAAAYACAAATATTTTGACAGTCTTATGTTTTGTTTTAAAGCGTATTAACTATTAAGTACGTAACTTAACTTTGCACACAGATTTGAATATAAAAATTGTTCATGCTGCTGCAATAACGTTCTACAAACGATTTCATAATAGACTTATTCCTTCCCATCCCAGGTTAGGTCAGGAAACTTAATATCATAGGTACTTAAATAACAGATTGAGAAAAATTCACTCAGAATTGAATTTAGTAGAAGAACGAGTGAGTAATAATATTCTAATTTTGCCGATAATTTAAAATAACAATATGAAAATAAAACTATGATAGATAATTTTATTTTATTTTTTTTATTTGTACGCACATATTCGTATTAATAATATACATATTTAGATACCATGTGACATGTAGTGTACTGTGTGTACTATACTATCAATCAAACACAACTATCTCTCTACAAACACATTTTTTTTGTGCATGTTATATATCTCAAACAAACTGGTTTAACAATACTATCCAGATGTTAAGTGCTAGGTTGAATCATTTTGGCAATAAGACCATCAAAAATACTGAATTTCGTATTTTCGTTCACACATTTTTATCACAGCATGACATAATTACATTTGTAATAATAATACTTCAAAATATAAAATTAAATTGTTTAGAAACTATAACGAATTTAAATACCAAACATATTTTAATTAGCGTATGACAACTATAAAATATATTGATAATATTATAAAATAATATTTGTACTATTGTTTCTCATTCGATTCTGTGGGGTGTAGAAAATATAATAAATTATATATTAAGTGATTATCATTGGCAAATTTTAAGTAATTAGAAAACAATATTGATATCTTCATAATTGGATACATATTAAAATGATGCATAGCCAAATAAATGTGCATAAAAATAAATGATATTATAATTTATTATTTTTCTAAAACAATAAATAACGATGATAAGATTAAAGAATTTTGAGTTTTAATCTAATCATACTTAAAGACTAACCCAAGTTTCCACCCATTCTAATAATTTTATAGTTAATATCAATATATTATGGCTATCATATAATTAGTAATTAAAAAATTTAGAACTTAAAAGCTTTATATGAAATATGTGTTATGATGTTTGTAATAGTTTATTTAAAATAACCTTTATGGATAAAATGATTTCCAATTTATACAATAATAAAACATATTATAAGTTATCAAAAAATCATAATTATAAAAAAAAGTCAATGTTAATAACTTATATTTCTTTGTAGAGGCGTGATAGCAAAAATAAGCATGAGTAACATCATAACCAGAATGAGGTGTTCTTTGTACATCGGTAGCATACAAATTGTAAAAAAATTGGTTTGAATTTTCGAGAGACATATATGATGACTGATATAAAAAGATACTTCACCACATCAAACTTAGGTACCTACCTATATGATTGTATTATGTATTGTTTAGTAGATAGGTAACTTGAATATAATTTCATGACATTTTTTAATTTATTAAATTATCATAATGGTTACAAATAATTTGATTATACTTACATTTAATATTGTAAAATACTAAAATGTGTGTATTACACGAAACAATAAAATACAAAATGAGTGTCATGCAAGTCACAAATATATTAATACTTCACAATTTTCAAAACGTGAAAAATAAATAAATGAATATAATATGAAGAAAAAAATTATAATTGTTATAATTTATTATGTAATAGGTATTTACATACATGTTATGCAATTTTTAATTGGTTGATTTCATAATGCTGTGCAATATACTAATATATCTTCATAAAAACCGAAAATTATCTTAAGAACCCAGAGAAACCTATTTGTACTATCTACCTATCCATCACATGGATTATTGTATACCAAATTATTTAAATTATTACTTTGCCGTGGTTTATGATGATATGAGTACCTGCCTATACTAACTGTAGACTGGTACAAGCCAAATTGTGAAACCAAATCACAACTTAAACAAAAATAATACTTGGAAAATGTAACTTTACCTGGTGGATAGTTTTTTGGTTTTCTACACGTACGAAGAGCGATTAATAACAGAATTACAGCAACGAAACATACAAAATACCAAATAATTAATAACAGAGACATAATATTATTAAAGTGTAATTAACGCCGGGACAGGYTGACGATTAGAATAACGATACAAACGATACACGTGGTAGCCGGCAAACGACTGACCKTTTTTTATTCACTCGTGTAATAGTGCTTTAATCGTATTTATTTAAGGCGATGACAAAGAATAATAATAATAATAATAATAATGATAATAATAATAATAAATTGCTTCTGCAGAATGAGATATTTGTGTGTGTGAGTGTGTGTGTATGTATAATACTATACCGTATATGTATAACAACGACAATAATTATTTGTGCAGTAAATTGGTGGGGACATTTCCGTTGTCCACTATCCAATAAACTATTTTGTATAAGTAATTATAAATACAATTAGTTTTGGCCGTTTGCCTAGTCAATACAGAGTGATTCACACTACACTGTATAATATACTATCATAACTATAAAGTGTTGGTACAACATGTCAATATCTAATAGCATATTGTAGTAAGTAGTAAGTACGTAATACTAATATAATGTAAATATTATATATATAACATGTTAAGAATAAGAAACTTAACAAATACAATTATAATTATTAATGTATAATATGACTAGATAGATGCAACTTAGTATCACCTCGAACTCGTACTTTTATAATTAACTCCTCCAAGTTCTTTAAGCATACTTAATTACCTTCATCAAATACTTAGATTTTTATATCATTTTAATAGTATAGGTGATATTGCGAATGTTGAGATACAAAAATTATTTTCACTTAAAATTGTTAAGTCGACGATTTTATTGAAAATGTTGATGTAATCGAACGGAAATTTTTAGGAGTAGTTTTTGAGTTATTGAATTTTGCGTACCAAGGTATGATGATTTGAAAATAGGTAGTAATTTCATTAATCTATCAACATTTTATGTTTTTAAAAACTGTCCAAGTTTAATAAGTACTAGATTTAAAATTACAACTATTTTTCAGAGATTTATAAAATTATTTTTTAGAATTATTATTCTTTTAAGTAAGTATATGCATTTAAATAACTCAGAAACAACTCGTACAAATTTTGATTTAAATATATGCTAWATGCATCAACGATTACATTAAATCGTCTGCATAGTAATATACTTATAAAAAGTTTGTATCACCACAGCACATAAGACATAATATAGCACTCTGTATATAGTCGTATGTATCTAACTACATAACTAACTATTTACTGTTTAGATTCTCCTTCTCAACACTTGATACATAATATACTTATAAGCTTATTTTAGATATTATACCTATACTTTAAAGTTAATTATTTTCAGTACAGTACAGTGTGCACGTACATACACATTTAATAATCTCTCTGTATACATTACTGGATTTATTAATATTTTTTTATTCTACATTTACAAATGAATACGTACCGTGGTCCACGAGAGAAAAATTAAATTTATTTGTTCTCATTTAATAAAATATCCAATTGAAACGTGAAGTTTTAAAAGTTCTCGGTTGACCCAACTACTCGACTGGATTTTATTCATTTTGCGTTGTTGGCTATTTTACATTATCTTCGTCACAGTGTGCAGTGTGCACATTACACACATAATATTTTACAATCTTCCTGTATACATTATTGGATTTATTAATAATTTTTTTTTATTTTAGATTTACGAATGAATACGTACTACGAGAGAAATATTTTATTATTTATTTGCCCTCATTTAATAAAATATCCAATTGAAACATGAAGTTTTKAAAGTTCCCGGTTGACCCGGCTACACGACTGAATTTTATTCATTTTTCATTAGCTATCCTACATTATCTTCATCACCAAGTAGTGAAGTATTCTCAACATACTTATACATAACAGTAAAACATATTACAATATGAAATGTAAATGATATATTATTATAAAAACAATAACATATACAAAATATATGATAGTAGAGACGCTGAAACCAATGTAATATTTAACTAAAGGCTCAGCAAAAAATTGTAATTGCATCTATTCTATTTATAGGTCTGCATTTGTCACTACTTAAGGATACGCGTATGATATTAAGTATTAGATAATACATATTATAGATACACAAGTAGTGTCTACACACTTAATTATAGGTGTTGATTGAACTGATACCACAGTGGTATTACCATTAAGTATCTAGCAAATAAACATAATGAATGATTATAATAAAAACTGCATATTATAATATTTTTAAGTGTAATGTATTAATATAAGTTACATTTTTAGGTTAATTGTTAATATATTTATACTATATACAGGCAGTGACAATATTATGGCCGGGGTTATGCTTATAAATATGCTAATACGTAAAAACTTTAAATTTAAATCATCAGATAAACTAATAGGTACATTGGATTACTATATAAATGTTTATTTATATATTTACTGGAAAAAAATAATTTCAAATTAAAATACTAAAATCAATAAATCGACCAATTATAATTTATCATGTTTAATAATATAGGTAGGTACTAGGTATGCATTTCGTTTTAAAGTGAAAAACTTAAATCTGAAAAAATATTTTAAAATGAACAATTAAAATTTAAAAAAAAATAATAATATTATTTTTAAAATAATCGATATTAAAATTTAGTAGTTTCCTGAGTAATTATAAATTTGTTGTAATAGTAATATATAAACCAATTGCACAGAGTTATCTGTTCTTTTTTCGCTCTTAAGTAAATGTCATATAAAACAACATCTATTAATATAATTTAACTATAATTCATGTTATCTGCGATCCATTCGACAAATGACGCTACCCTGGTATATACACCTGGGTAACCTGGTTCAGCGCACTTAAATCCAAAAGACACAACACCAACTAAATAATATTGAGTACCACTTGGCCACATTAAGGGACCTCCAGAATCTCCCTGAAATAACGATCAAAATTATAAATATATTTACACAGTACAAATTAAGTTTTTAGATCAGCACCTGACAAGCGTCTTTTCCTCCAGTTAATAATCCAGCACACAAAACTCTATCATCGATAACAGATTTCTTGTTGGCAAATGCTCGCTTACATTCTGAATTATCTATCACGGGTACTTGAACTTCCATCAGAGTAGTAGAACTCGGTCCGCCTAAGTAATACATATAATATTATTAAAACCAAATGCAAAAAATAAACATTGTTATTTTAATATGCTATAATCATAATAAGAGTTCAGTATAATATATAGTATAATATATAATATGTAATTTGAAATGTACCAACTCTACATTTTATATTATTTGGTTATGCTTACGGAATGATGTGGAACCCCATCCGGCAACAAATGGTACAGATTTAACTAACTTGTTTGCTCTATGATGCGATAAGACAGGTAAACAGATAGGTTGAATAAATTCTAAAAAAAAAAAAATGTAAAAAGTAAAGTAAAATAAATAAAAATTATGCTCATTGTACGTAATATACTAGGTAGTACTAGTTTTGAAATATTTTATAATAATATTCTTACATAACATTTCTTATTTCTGTAGTAGGCAATATAATTAACAATATGAAAAATACAATATTATACCAATAGAAGTTAACTACACCACTGTTTTACAACGATTATTTTCTATAGGCTTGAAAATCATTCATCGACAATGAGTCGACTCCTGAAAAATTCTAAATAGGTCTTACAAGACAAATTTTAAATATTTCGAGGAATAGGTCGGTAAAGTTTTAAAAATGATTATACTGCCCTCATTAGTGTTAATCAGAGAGAAATTAGAGATTGTAAGACCTATTATCTGACTTTACTCAAAATGTAGATTAATAAAAATAAATAAAATGAAAAATGAAAAAAATAAATAGAACAAAATAATTTTCCGCCGCTCAATATTTAACTAAATAACTCCTGTACTTGCCTATATGTATAATATACTTTAGATATTAATATATTAATTAGGTACGCATCAAATAAACATATATTGTTTTAAAAAAGTCTTGTGTTTTTTATCATTTACATATTACTTATTTTTATATTTTAAGTTACCTAAATATAATAACAAAAGATAATAATATCATAATAGATATCAAGATGTAAAGAAAGGCGGCTTTTGTGAAGCCGGGAATTGGCATTGACCTAAGCCTTGACACCCTCAGAGACTTATACACGATATAGAAGTGTAATGAAATGTGTGATATTAAAAAAATACTTACGATTGAATCTAACACTGTTTTCTAATTTTAATAATGCAATATCAGTGGTATATTCTTGTGCATTATATCGTTCATGTGTCATGACGCGTGAAATTGCAACATCTATTGGTCCAGCTCCATCATTCACTTTAGGATCTAAGTTCAAATCACCTAAATGCGCGACAGCCCTGAAAAACAAAATAATTTGAAGCTACGATATTTGATATTAATTATTATCAAAAAAAAATTTGATGTAAATTTAAAGATCGTTTTGTTGAAAAAAAATGTTTAATATCAATTTTCATTCATTCGTTTGATTATAGTGTATTATAAAATCAATTATACAACTAACATTTAGGCATGTGGTAAACTTGTATAACCAACCTACTCTTTATAATCTATTTGTATTGAATATATTTATTTTTTATAAACATGTTTTATAACAAATATTATACTTTTTTAACTACTCGTTACTTGTTAGTTGTTCGAAATACGATTCTTAAATAAGAACATGTTGAAATTTCAAAAATATATTCTGCTTTTAAATATGTTACTATTCAAAATAATAAAACTACAGTTAAAAATAAAATCACATTATAATATATATATATATATATTATATATATTAATTTAAATGTACCTACCTAAAAAAATTTTCGATTTTTACATAGAAATCACAATAAAAAAACACATATTATTATCACTCGAACTAGAAAAACTCACAAACTTTTTTCAATTTAAACTCAAGTTGGTATTAGGATAACTAAAGAAGCAGCACCTCAACATTTATCGATTACCTATAAAATACAATTACCAATGATAACTAATATATAAAGTGTATAATCATATTTATACCAATAAATACTTATCAACATGTGTATATTTACTATTTAAACATAAAATAAATAATGGCAATTGTATGTAGGTATAGTGGCATATTGTAATATTACTTACTATCTATGTAATATGTAACCTCTTCACACCATTGATTTAATAATAATAATAAAATTTTCAACTATCATAATTTATATTATTCTTGTCTCAAAAACATTAAGAACATAAGTTACTTTATATGCTAAATATTTTAAGCAAAATGAAACAATTTTTAACTAGTTTATAGACAGATTRATCAGATTATTTACACTTACAATTTTCGATTTCCAATACCGACGGTACAGTGGGCAGCTGTTAATACGTATCTATCTGATATCAAGGCACCACCACACAGCCACTGATATTCGGAACTTGGCCTATTAAGATCTTGATATCCAAGTGCTGTCATCCAGGGCCAAGCACCTAAATACATCAAAAAGTCATTATTTGTAATGAATAATATTATACTTCAATAAATCTAAAACGCTTTACGAGGTAGATATTTTGTGAAATTTTAAAAAAATAAACACAAATTACAATTTAGTTTGTTTTCTAACGTATACCTAATTCAGCAGGATTTCCTCCGACAATTCGAACGTGGCTAGAATTAGTTCGTCCACAAGTTTTTTGTGATGGCAATTTGATTGACGTAACTGTTTCGTAAACTGCTGAACCTCCCGAATCAGTTTTTGGAGTAGTTATCCTTTGAGTGGTATCAGTGTAGCTGGTATCAGTGTAGGTGGTAGGTTCATTCTCCAATGGACAGCATACCTTGGGGTCTCTACCCTCATATCCACACATGGAGTTTCTGAGAAATGTGGCAATAGAAGAATTGTGTCTCTGATTTTCTAATAGATAACGTAGCTTAGGGCATCTTTTTATGTTAATGCAATTGCCGTTAAGATCATTAGGCGTGAAACATCCTATACATTTAAACATTTAGGTAAATTATTCATAATTTGTTTTTATATTAATATTAATAATAAATAAGTAATAAGTATAAGTTTAATAAGTAATGAAAAAATTACTAAGTTCAACAAGTTTGCAATACTTTTTTTTTAATTTTATATAGGTAACCAAACTGATAATATAGTAAAATTGGAACTATACGGAAATATTACTTCTTATTTTTTCATCACTTTAAAGTTTAAAGAACTTAAATTAATATTTGTTAATCAAATAAAACAAAATATAAATTAATAATGAGTCAATTATTCTTGTTGTAAATTGCAATAATATTGTTGTTAATTTGATGAATACCTACATGTTGGTCTACAATTTTCAGTTGTTTTAAAGATAAATAAACCTGAATTGTCATTATCACCTACCATCTTACTATAATAGTAAAATAAGTTACTATAATAGCTATATATAAATATTATAAAATATAATTACTAATTAGTAATAGACTAATATAGGCTGACCATCTTCGCTCAGAATCCTTTTTCGTATACAAAAATCTATCATTAAATTCGTAACTAACTGAATTAACACATACAATATAATGATTTAGGTATTCAATAACATAATATACTACACTGCAGTAGATCAGACTGATCAGTTATCTACCTACTCCCTTTTTTTTATAAATGACTTTAAAGTGAGTACAGACGTACGGTCACATGATCAAATGATACTCTTYGGTGACTTTTAAGGTAGGTGACACGAAGTCTAAGTTAATCCCGTTATTTTTAATAACACCTAATCAAACATTTTTGTTAATTAAATATATAATAACTTAAAATTTATTCACCGCCATCTATTGGACGTGATTCAATCTTTTTTATAAAATTTTCTGGTATCACTAAGAATAATCTATGAAATTTTCGTCAAGATCGGTCAGTTTTTGAATGATTTAACTACAACCACACACACGCACTAATAGCCTACTATTATTAATTTAAACAGATATAGGTTGATAAACAACAATATTTTGTAATCAAAATAAAAACACACCATTATTATTTTGTGAGTTTTGAGCCTTCACACTTCTATCTCCATCAATCCAAAAACTGAACACGAATATCATACAAATAATAAATGTGCCTCTGTCCATGTTCAATTATGAAAACCAAACCGTATACCTAAATACAAAAAAAAAAATGTGTAATAAATGGAATAGTCAAATTACCCACGCCGTTCTAAACTCAATAATTAAAGATTTATTTTACCTTCGGTGTTTAGTTCTTGATTATGTTGCAGTTGTGAGTATAATTACTTGATGATTGTGTTCGTGGGCATTGATTTATTCTGATCAAAAGCAATCTATATTTAAAATACCAAGTATACGTGGCCTAGACGTTGTCGGCAAMGTAATCCCTATAATGATTTTTAATATTTTAGATTTTAGACTCATTTATACCAAAACAATAATACAATATAAATAAATAGCTATACGCCATACCAAGTGTAGGGTCATAAGAACATTACAATAGGTCAAACTGATTAGGTACCATTCATTATTAAATATGTACCTATCGTCAAAAAATATATGATAATGATGCACATTGTATATACAGTTATTTTTTATTTTTAATAATAATTATTTTTTTATTTCGGTTTTCAATTTTTGTTGATAGACCCTCTAATAATTGATGATCATTTTTAACTACCCTAATACAATTATTTTATAATGTATTTATTTATTCATCTGATTGTAATATTTCAAGTACCAAAATTATCAATCATCAAGTTCACCGTATTATATAGAAACATAACTGATATTATATGGCAAAAAAGTACTATCTCAATCTGTAAATTTCATTGATTTAATAATTTAACTGCAGTAGGCATAGCTAGGAACGTAATTTGATGAATTTGGAGATTGAAATTAATCTACCATATTATATAACATAATGCGTAAGATATTAGTWGTTCTAATTCTTCTATTAACTAGATTAATTCCTGGATTTCTTCTTAAGTATCAAACGTATTGTAAAAAACAAGCGACCAATTAGAAATAATAATAACATATGAATTAACAGATACATGTATAACCGCAATGTTTGTGCCCGTCATCAATACATTTTTCCCGTTTTATTTTATATGAACGTAATTATTTTAATTTATTACCTACACCATATCTTTTGGTTACACGCATGATATTGTAATTAAMAAGTTAATTAAATACCTATACTTGAAAATTGTATTATATTGTTCGTGTCACTTACCTAAACATTTGAGAACAGTATATTTATAACCAATTAATAAATTAAATGATTATAATATATCCATTATTTATTAATAACATTTATCASTTATCACTTYATCTGCTATCATAGATAAGATCAAAAATATATAATTTTGTTGAAAATTAATTTTTAGTTTAAACAGGTAAATAGTTACACACACAAAAAGCAAAGTATTCATACAATCATACATAATATATAATATGTAAACTAAAATGCATAAATCATTTTCTAGTACAATTTTAAGGAAAATAAAATTAAAATATCATTAACCTAACGCATGATGGAACAACATTTACCATTACTTTTATATTTTATATTTTGTATAATACTAAAAAGGTGTTAAGATTATTTTTGTGACAAATATAATAAATTACACGTAGCTAGGTAGGTACCTATAAGGCATTACTAAAGTTAGTTCTTACTGTAATGAAGTTATGTGTATAAGAAAATAAAAATGTTGATTAGTTGATACGTACCTACTATWCTTAAGTATGAAATGGAGGAAATAATATAGGTATTTATTATTTTTTCATTTTCTGTTGAAGTTAAAAATCACTTGTTATACTATTATGTTATACACCCTGAAAATTATTTAATTTTGCATCTGTATGACATTCCGCAAATTAGATACCTATTTAAATAGTGAGAATCAACATAAGTTATATTTATTTATTTAATATTTATTAGAAAAATCGTAAATTTATAAACCATACTGAAGGTCTAGGTCACRATTTCAAGGTAAAAATAATTTAATTTGATAAGCAACAAGGAAATTAAAGTTAAAAATATTTGTTTTTCTTTTGTTCAATGAATTGTTTGTTACACATTATATTTTTGAACTGCATAGAAAAAAATATATATTATAGTAAAAGGTTAGTCCAAGCAATTTACATGAGAGCATTTTAAACTCCCTAATGATTTTTTCATAAAAATAATACACTTGTGAGTGAACGTGATTTTTTAACTATTACATTATCATCAAATGATTTATTAACACATCATACATACCTACATAACTGAGTTGTTACCTGTTAATATATTGGTGACTTCTTTTATTGTAACGTAGCGTTTATAATAGAAATAAACTACCATAGACCACAATAAACAGTGCAGATTGTCTGGCTTAAATTAGTTGTGCCTTGTACGATACGTAAGAACCATGAACAAGTGAACAGTAATACGTCAAAAGAGATACTAATAAAATAAGGTAATTTAACAAATTATTATTATGCATTATGCTCATCAGTAGTTGCGAATCCCACCTCCAACTCGCTTTGTTCAAAACCGGTCGACTAATATGATTTTAGTTACACGTTTATCGCTTTAGCTTGAAAACAGGTTCCCGATTATGTGTTGAGAAAAATTTGTTGGAAACAGATAATAATAATTAATAATAATAATAACATGAATATGATAATATATTCTAAATTGTAATTTAAATATAATACCTATATCTTAATATCTTAAAAAGAAACATAATATGATGAATATCATTTATGTGGTAATACACCACTACGTCACGAAAATATTTTTTTTTCAATAAAAAATAAGTCATTGGTATGTACACAACTTGAGGCCTAAGTAAGGGGAAGAAAAATTAAGACAAAAGAATATTTAGTTTTTGGTCTGAAAATTAAAACCCTTATAGAAGAATATCTTCAAATACTAATAAAATTGGTTTATTATTTTAAAAATTTATTTTATATGGAAATAATAATTATTTCTATCTATAATTATAATTATTATAAATTATTAATGTTAGAAAATTAAAAATAATCAATACATAATGCATAACATAAAATAGCGACTATACGTATTTAATAAAGAATAATGATATTTTAATTAACTTTTGTGAAATAACATAACATGATCCTGACATCGAAAAAATAAATATTTTTAAATGCATTAGGTAAAACATTTGATAAGTCGATATTATCATTAATCGGTAAAATTTTTTTTTAAGATGATTATTATGTTGCTTAGATAATTTTACTAAAGAAGTATCTAAAATATTAGACAATAATAACTTTGATAAAAGCGTAACTTGATTATGTACCCATAATTTATTTAAATTATTATTTACCTATGCTTTTATTTATTTCACTCGTTTTAAAATGACAACATTATTAAATAGTAAAATATGAACATGGTATGCAGATACCAAAATGCATATTGTATTTAACGCCGAGTCCTGTTAAACGTATAAATAACATTTTTATTTAAAACTGTAAATTTGTTGTCATTATATATTTGTATGTAATTATTTTATACAGCAAACGAATAAGTTGTAACCGTATATTCTAATTATTTTATATTACAGTGCTTGCTTAATTTTTTTTTTATTTGAATTAAGCCTTGGCAACAATGGGTTTAACTCTAATTAAAATACTTAATATAAAAWATTGTATTGGTTTTTTGTTACATTCTAACTTCTATATATTTGTGAAGTTGTTTTGGATGGTGGATCTGTCTTACTATTCCACCGCAACACATCATGGCACACGTTAATAAGTGCTTAACTACCTTTAGTCTATACTTATTAATTATTATATAGAATATAGTACATTAGTACATACATGCTTATAACATTGGGTTTCCATATTATATTTTACTCAAACCGTGAGAAGCATTTTGCGTATAATTTTATGGGAAAAATCTAACCACTTCCCCCTCCACGGCCGGTCAGCTGCCAATTTGCACAACCTATTTTTTCGATACTATCACACAATGTTAAGCATTTAGCGACATAAAGGTATGTAAATTACAATCTATTCTTTTATAGTTTATGTTAGAAACATTTTAATTTCAAAGAATATAAAGTTTAATATTATTATAATAAAATAGTAGATACAATAAAAAATTAATCAGATTTTAACATGAACCTATAAAATGTTCATATACAATATTTTTTGAAATTAAAATGTTTCTAACATAAACTATATCGTACTTTACTTAACGAAAATATTGATATTTAAAAAACTTTAAAAAGTCAGCCATTTGACTTAAATAAGTGTTTTTACCATATACATTTTTCTGAAAGTCAGATTTACAAATTGGCTATATTGAATATTTCGAAAAARATGTTTATCAATKTGTATGTTTTTTTATTTTCAATATATTAAAAAATAAAAACAAAAAATTTATTCTAAAAATTTAGCATAAGTGTCAATGAATTATTTTTTAAAGAAATTTAAAAAAAATATCGATTAGAGCAAAGCGATAGATGTATTTTTTTTATTAGATATGAATAATAATTTAGGTGTCGTTTATCTGATCAATTTCAATAAACATAAATTATCAAAATATAACTAGACAAGATAAAAATGAACATAATGTATTTTAACAATTTTAATTTTARTTATTAAGCTTTATTAATTTTAACAATTTTAATTTTAATTATTAAGCTTTATTAATGTGCCATCGAAATAAAGTTTATTTTTAATAAAATAATTTATTTATTACAATTTATAGGTAAAGTTTATCTGGCCAATTACAGTAGGTAAACATAAAATATTATAGTTTAAAAATGATCATAACTCGCATAAAAATTATACAACATAATATTATACTCACCTATTAGGGTGATGCTGAAAATCACCACCACGAGTCCATGATGCACTCGTGATGTATTTAACATAAAAGATTTTCTACGAAATTTGTTATTTTAAGAATTTCATTCAAATTACAGTACTTACATACAATCATTGATGTAATACGTAGATGGGTTAACCCACACTGCTTGTTTTGTCCCAACAACTAGGACATCATCGCTGAACACACTCTGTCCCAATGCCCGATATGAGTTGCAATGACGTTTCACCATCACGGTAGGTGTATGCTAAAGCTAAACTGCTCTGAGGACTAGGTTTTTGATGACATACCCACCGAAATGACTGGGCGGGTTGCGACTCTACAAGACGTTTAAGAATCCTATACAGAGGATTTCACGCGAGACGACCATGACGGAAACGCGGCTTAAATATAAAGCTACAGGACCCGATCGCTACCACGGTGCTGGTTCAGAATTTCAGATGCTATACCAGCTATACCGAGCAATTCTCTTCATTTCTCCTTCCATGACTGGCGGGACGACAATCATAATATAGCGGTGGCCGCTGGACTCCAGAAAGTTGGACATAAAAAATAGGTACGTCATATATACACGTTATATGTACAATACGTTAATACTCGACTACATCATCCTAATTAGTTCCGGGTAATCTAGGCGGATCAAGACCGAATCGGTTTCCGATAAAGACCTTCTAAAAAGAAGAAATACATGCAATCTAAAATATAATTTGATATCAATATAACAAATGTTCCATCATTAATTATGGGTGTACCTATGTAAAAATGTAACAAGTACCTACACAAGAAAAATGATTCGTGTACATCAATTTAACTTAAAAATGAATAATTGTTAAGTGGAAACCAGAAATGTTCACAGAATATTTAAATATGACATGTGATTTGTAGTTTTTGTTTTTGRAWAGTAAAAATCTTGAAACTGTAGTACAAATGTTATGTTAGGGAAGTTGTTCATATCTCAATTATACAAAAAAAATCGAAAGTACATAGTCATGTTAGAAATTCAAGTTTTTATGAAATTCATCAAATTGACAGATTCATAATATCTCAGATATGATGACRGGGGATCAGTAACTGCGTCGTCAATGAACAAGCAAGCGGGTTCACCGACGGGACCGAGGAACGTCATATTATTATTCACTGCCGACCGAACACGTCTGCACTGTCGAGTTGTTGTCGAGTGACGACCGTGTTGTCGGTTGCCTAACCAACCACCCGACCACCATAATGGGACGTACACACCACGACAAATGAAGGGCGTCGGTCTGCCCATGTCACCGGACTATTGCGTATAGCCGACACTCGAGCAAATGTGGTCGGAAGTGCTGTTGCCGGGCTGCGGGTTGGCGATTCAGTTGACCAGAAACCGGTAGACACATCGACCAGATCGAGAATCCACACGCCTAGAGCCATTAACCACTAACCAGAACAGGTCAGGCGAGAACCACCAAATTCCGGCRGGAAGAGCAAACTCCAATAACACCGAAAGGACCTTTTTTAAAGCTACGCCTTCTKATAAYAACTAGGTCCACCCAACGCGCTTGTTATGCATAATCCAAAGGTCGGCAAGTAACTTCTATTGGAGTCCAGAAAATCAAAATAATAAATAAATGAGGTCCCGTGAAACCAAATCCTCGTTAAAATTGTGTATTTATGTAATAGCAATAAAAAAGCCAAAMAAATTGTAAGACATATACTGACGGTCCAACTGTTTACAGTTCTCCACGGTCAACAATTAGTCTATCGTTGGTATAAAAGCCWGAGTTTCCCAACCAGGGCGCCGAGAACTTTATTTAGGGGTTCCGTGATAATTTGAAATATATGTCCAATTTTTATTCAATCTTAATAATGAAAAAAGAATAATAACTAAAGATAAAAAAATGTAGTTATATTGCTCAATATTATAATTTGTTTTATAAAATGTAATAGGTATGTGTATTATATAATATGTCTTAATATTTWAAATTTTTATTTACACTTATGCAGTTAAGCGCTGCTAAATAGAACCGAAGTAGGCTATATAGGGTGCCTCCGGATTTGTAGAAAATGACTTAGAGAGCCGTGAGTCAAAAAATGTTGAAAAACTTTATTATAAGCGTTCGTAAGACACTACGAATTCACATCAAGTCTCTTGTTTGAGTGGGCACCGCGGTGCGATCCTATATCTCCACATAAACTGTACAATCACTACGTCATATGTATTTAACAGGCCATTCGCCATGGTGAAAAATTTAAATAATCATTAAAAAAATTAAAAATTTTGAAAACGTAATTTAAGATCCCATACATTTTTCTATTGGCAATTTAAAAGTATTAAAAATTCATAAATCAATTTTTATTTAATATTTTGTAGTTCAAAAATTAACAAAAATCGAAAATCATTTTGTTGTCGAAACCTTGTAAAATGTTCCAATATTACAGCTAAAGCTTTAAAATTGAATACACGGTTTCTCATATAGTTTTGACTGAAATTTCAAAAGAATAAAAAAAATATTTTTCTTGCTTAACATCTGAACATTTTGACGAAATTAGATGTTCTAACGAATAATAACAATTTTAGTAATTTCATTGCAACTAAAAAATAAGCTATTTTTTTACACTTGAAACTTTTACGGGTTTTTCGTAGACATCTGAAGTTGAACAGCTGGTTACACAACGGACAAATTGGTTGCGAGCAGTTTTATTCGCTTACAACACAAAATTCATTAGGTACACGTTGTAGGTATTAAGGTATATAGTAGACACATAAAAATGTGTGTTTTAAAAAGAACACGATAATGAAAATTCATATTATTAAGTGACATTAGTCATTAATTGTATATTACTTTAAAAATTGYCACCTATCAACTATTTAAATGTTGGTACCAAAACTTTTATTTCAATAGCCAATAAGTAGCTGCTTCTTAGCTCAGTTACAAGTTGGTACGATAATATGTAGTGCGATGCGCATGCGCAACATAAGTGATACATTCCTCATGTTCCTGAGATAACAAGCAGACGTTATCAGCTGATTGTTTGGCTATGTGCCACGATAAGGTGACGAAAATGATAACCATCGCGGTACGTCCTAACRATGTGTGTCATGTACTCATTGTACATTTGTAGTGTTGTACTCATGTATCAGTTATATTTGTTTAAGGTGTTAGAGTGGCYTTTTTTTYGTTTAATGAATATTGAATAATTATCAACCACTCGGGACATATAATGGTAACATATGTTCAAAATGCTCACTATAAACGCCGCAATTGCTTTAGAATTTTGCACCGACGAACCGTTCTGATAGCATTGCTGCAGTTGTGCCGTAGTGACGAAAATGATTTCAATACGTAAAGCTGTTTTTATCGTAAACACTTTTCTACTGTGCATTTTGTCGTTTTTTAACATTTATTGTAAGATCTTCGGCGTTCAGTTATTTAAATAATATTGACATCGACAATAACAATGTATTGGCACAATGATGTATGTTTTTATACTTTTTTTTTACAGTCACAAATGGAGACATGACCATTGTTGACATCAAAGAATTCGAATATGGAGGCGATATATTCTTTGAGATAACACATCCGCCAGAACTACAGTTTACATATCGCATAAGACCGGCCAAAAGCTTTGGGATCCCTTTTGTAAATAATTACCTTTTACTAATTAGTTTAATTTTGGGTCTAAATGAATAAAATTTAGTGTTTCACAATATAAATTAGGTATTTTTTGTTTGTTAAGGACAAGGAAAAGTTTCCAGCTAAAAAAACAAAATTGGTACTCGTTGACCCTCACCATGGTTGCGAAATTCCTAAAAACGCAAAGCAACTTGAAGGAAATGTTGCATTTGTGAAAAGAGGGTAAATATATCTATTTTTTGTATGTTAATAAATTAATAACTAACCAGTAATAATACTGAAGAAGCATTTTTAAAATAAATTGTTTAAACAGTGTGTGTAGCTTCTTAAAGAAAACTGTAATATCAGAAATGTCTGGAGCAAAAGCTATTGTTATCACGGACAATAACATTTATGATGATACAGCTTATATACACATGATTGATGATGAAAGTGAAATGTCTGCCAATATTCCAGCTGGTTTCCTTGTTGGAAAATCTGGGTAAATTGTTTCTTTAAAAATGAAAATAAAATATTTACATTTTAAACATCAAATCAYTATYGRAGTTTATATTTATTTATGTCATRCAACATATTACTTAATTCCAATTGAAATATTTATATAAACTTAATATTATTTATTWATATGGTAATATTACACTGTGTTCTAGGCATTTGATACACACCAAAATGACTCAACTAAGTATGACAGAACTGCCCATTGTGTTTCCATTAAACATGACTTATGTACCACTACATGAAATCAAGCAACCACCTTGGATAACAATTTGAATCTTCAGAATCTTGTATGTTCAACTCAATTTTAGACTGAAAATCCCTCCACATTATCATATATTTTTAATRTTTAATCATTATGTTTTTATTTTATTTAATAATGAATAATGACTGAACAGAAATCTCACGTATTTCWATTATATATTATATTATAACATTTATTTATTAAATATAATTGCAGAAAACTGTGGACCTAATTTTTAAATAGTTTTAGCCATATTTTACTACATTTTTGCAGTTAATATAAATGTATGACATTATTTGGTTAATTTTTAACAGGGTTATATTAAACAGGGAGTTTTTATGGCATTAAAATGTAATTATTAACCATAATATTCGAGGTAACCGTTCATTTTTTGTATTTGATATTTATTTGTATAATATTAGAATCAATGATAGTTATTCAAGTAAAGAACTAAAACTCTAGTGATGACAAATAAATGTATAGATATAATTACTAATTAATAATAATACATCTCACCTTAAAATTACCAATTAAATTTATATAATAAGTGTTGTTTTATTGTATTTCAATAAATATAAAACATTAATATATTTTAATTGACCAGATAAATTATTTGGATTTCACATTTAATACTTAAATGTTAAATCAACTAGAGTTTATTATATCAGAAACCAGCCAAAGAAAAATATTAATGTCCATTAACGTTATTTTAAATTTACGCCGCAAACAAAAATGTGAGTGTTGCAAGTACTTGTGTGGTAATAAAAATATATCTGATTACCTGAGAAAATAGTTAAGTTACTTAAAATAGTACTACAAATAAATTACTTCAAATAATGTGGATGTTAACATTCTTTTATTTTTGATGCTAATACTAAAACATATAACGGTTTAAACTTTATTACATCTACAGTTTTTAAATCTCACCATTGTAGCATTGCATCTACTATGTTCGCTACTTGYGCCTACCTAAATACGTCAGCACAATCAATTTAGAAGTATTTATTATTTTTTATCATCAATAATAAACTCGAAATTAGCCTAATAATCGCAATCTGCAAAAGAATCTCGAAAATCAATAGACGGTGTCGACAAAAAGAATTCGACAGCAACACCCCGACCGCAAAAAAAAAAATGTTCGACATTTTTTTAAAGCCATTGGTTAGCATGAATTTGAACGGTTACCTATCACCGAAATTTACACGGTTTTTAATTTTTTTTTTTCAAATTTGTCGGTTGCCTTACCTAACCTAACTTTTGCACTGTGACAAAAAGTCAGCAATATATTCAGAGTATAACGATTTAATGGTCGTTGCACGCACCGAGTAAAAAATAAGATGGGTAGCGAGTACTAGCAGAGTACTACTACTACTTCTGTGACAGAAGGGAGAATTTATTGTAACATACTATTATATCTCAAACAATGTTTCAATGTAAACCCATGTAATATGTATTGCAACCCATTCATTCGTTCTCATTGTAACTTGGCTCGTTTTAAGCCACGCGTGACATAAATCTAGTGAATCAATTGACTTCTATAAACAGGTGTGACTTTCCTAATTTCATGTAAACCCATTAAATAAAACGGAGTTCTGAAGCTAATTGTTCAGAATTTTTGTCAAAAACTGTTAAATGATATTAATAAATGGTCCGTTTCCGGGACGTACAAGGTGAATCGGTGGCGACGACCGCAGAAAACCTACTAAAACGCAACGCATCCCACCTAAAAATGTTTGGATTTTGGAATTGAGCCAATCTTTACTCTTAAGTAGGTATGAATAGAAGATATTGATTATTGACTGTTGGTCTGTGCCATTTTTTCACGTTAGTGGGTTGATACCTATTGGCTACTACCTACTCAACTACTTTGTGACGTGCATTGTGCAGTTAGTCGTATGATTATATGATAAAATGATTATTTACATTTAAAATGTAAATGCTTTTCTACGTACGAATTCAGCATGTAATTTGCAATGATTTTAAATAAATAATTAAAGTGAACTGTTCAACTGCAGTATTACCTAAACATTAATTTATGAAAAATCGTGTWACTTAAAATATTTATATTTCATATGTTATTTCAACTGCAATATAGTAATTGACAGTTATGTTTGATTTTAAAATATATGTGTGGGACGTGCAACTGACATACTTCTAGATGCGTTAAATAATGTTGTCCGGAATGTTCCTCTTTCGGGAATTTCTAGTTTGTCAATCGACCATAATTGCAATGACGCTGATCCAAATATTAAATAAAAACACATTATGAATATAAACATAGCTACAATTATCCATAAAACAGTATTCCACTCTTCCCTGGTGTTCTGTAAAATATACAAGTACCAAGTTAGATAATATAATATAATAACAAATTATTAAATTGATAAAGTCTTTAAAAATTTATTGATACCTAAATTAATATTTATAAGTTATAACTATATTTTAGATWAAGGAGGAAATAATAATCATACTGTTTTTTTCAGTAGGGTAGACAAGAAAAAGCGGGKAAGTCGTGGATGTCGCTCTGCTGTACAGTAGGTTACAAGTGGGTTACTGTAATGGGTGGAATTAAATTTGAATCCAATGATACTATATCATTGTATACGAAAAACGATTCTGAGCGAAGATGGTTTATTTGTCTAGGATGTATTATAGATTATAAAAAATTTTCAAATCTTAGATTTTAAATAAAATTTTTTATGAATTTCTAGCACAAAATAATTTGAACATTGCCGTAATTTTAAATTAATTATTGTTATTAAATTTAATCAATAAATATAACAATATAGTCTATTCATATTATGTGGTGTGTATAAATTAAAGACAGAATTGTTTTTTGAGAAAACGTATTTATAATTTAAGTAAAAAAAAAACAGATATTTGTATTAAAGAACTGATAAGTTAGTGAGGGCGGCAATGGTGTAATATCTTTTCTCTAGTAAAAAAACTTTTATATTACTGGTGATTTGATGTTTGATTTATGGTTTTAACAATATAAAGGTATTTTTTCTAACTTGTTTAATAATGATGCTGTTGATTAAAGTCGATGGACAAGCAACCAAGAATGCGATAAATGTTGACAAACCGGACAACAAACCAGCATAATTTGGAGCCAAATCGAGGAGTGTAGGAAAGAAGCCTCCACTGTAAGCGAAATCACCTAAAGCCAAGTTTATTGATATTGCGACCATGATATGCAATTTGGTGATGTTCTCTTCAAAAATTATGCTCAATAGTGATGTAATGACCATTATGCACCCTGTTATCGAACGAATAATGCATTATAATTAATGTATACCCAACTACTAGTACAATATTATGTTATTAGAATTTTTCATAATTTATTGATTTATACTATATACTGTTATATAACTAGTAATAAGTACTGTGCTATGCGCTGTTATATTTATCCAGTGTTTACCTGCAAAGTCCAGTATCAACTTAAATCGATCACAACTATGGTTTTTACTACAATAATATACATATACAAATACACTTATATAATACCAACTGTATATCAATTATCGTAACAGGATAAAACTCTAAACGACTTATCTATTTTTGTGCATTTTAATTTTCCTAAGGATTTAAACATTTTTAATACCTACATAGCATTTGAAACGTTTAATACTGAACTCAACAAATTAATTTTAAAATGTAATAATGTAGTTCTTTATTTATATAAAATGTATGACGACTTTCAATTTGATTTCAGAAATTATGTCTGATAAGTAGTTTAGTTAATACAATTGCTAAAAGATAAATACTAATAGGTCAAAATAAATAATAGTCGTTTCTTACACGACATCACGAACTTGTTAAAATGTAATGCGTACCTACCTACAATTGTACCGGAAAGACACAACAGCTACACTGCACAATAACATTGTTGTAATTATAATTATAATTACTAATTAGACATGCCATAGGCAAGCTCAGTTTAAGATAAATTTGGGCCCAGGACAAAATAATAATAATATAYCCATTAAATCATTATCCATATGCATAAAAACACTATATCTATATTATACATTGAAGTTTGAACACCCTCTAGACATTAAATCCATATCTTTTAAATAATTCCATTCGTATAATTATAATAAATAGGTATCTACGTGATATACCTATATGGCTATATATATATATGTATTTAAATTATTATCACACTTACATAGGTAACCTACTGTTTAAAAAAAARGCTAAATATTTTTATATTAAAAAATATATATTTCGTACGGGTTTATAACAAACACAAATCAATAGGTACAACAAATAATTAATAAGTAACATCTATAATAAAGCGTATAGGTATGTCTATATTTTCCCGCGGCGTCGTCGGTTCAAAACTGGGGAAAAAAAGGTATGTCTATATTTAATGTTTAAAGTAAGTTCAAGTAAAATAGTAATATTTCTTATATTAGTCAATAGTCACAAATTGCAAATGAGTACGTTACCAAAACAACAATATAGTTTTCGGCATGCGGTGTGTGACAGTCCAGAAAAGTCTTTGACCATAGGATATGTTATGGCGTTAAAATTTCGCATTAAAAACGTCAAGATAAATGGTATGCAATACAAATATCCACTCTGAAAATTATAATTAGACAMACTGCAAAGTGGAGATTATACAATTTCGTCAATCATAGCATGTTGTATAGTTCACCTCACTGGTTTGGATACCCAACATGGTTTGCAAATACATCGGCATAAGGTTCATCATGGTGAACACATTCCACAAAAATGCCGAGTAACACAGCATGTATGCGATAAATGGCAATGAAGTGAATATGGACAACCACGGTATTACTGGCGGCTAAAACACCAAGCGATGTGATTTGAAAAAAAGTATTTAAAAATTATTAAAATAACAGCTAGGTAGTGAGATAGTTTCATACACTCAAATTTTAAGAGGGGTTAGACAATTTCAAAGAAGATAAATAAATAACATTTTTAGTCACAGCATTTAGAACTACATTTGTGATCGAATTGCGAAGTCACGGTGGGTGGGGTAGGGATGACTGGAAGAGATTYGTCTACTAGAAAGGTTTTCGTTTTGCATACCCAGGGTTCTCGACAATTTGTATTTTATTAGAAAGAAATGAGATGAGATGAGAATTTCAAATTTGGTGTCGAGTCGTAGGTAGTAGCACTGTATCGAATCGTTCGTAACTATTATAGGAAATCATATTATGTTTAACAWCTAAAGTGTATATAGTTATAATAAAATAGTGTTAGTTATGTAATATAAGTGTCTATGTCTGGACCTCAGAATCACACACTCACACCATTCTCCTATAACCATCGGCGTCTCCGCGGGGAGCAATACGGGGCACTTGACCCCCCCTATAATTTTAATTTTTTTTTTCCAAAGCATTATCTGTATAGTGCCAATTTAGTAGACATAGATTACTTTTAAAATGTATAAAAATATATTCATTTATTTTTTAAATTGATTTTTCTCCTCCCTCTCGAAAAATGCCTGGGGACGCCCGTGCTCTTAATATGATATATTATTATACATATTTAAATATGATAGTACCTAATACATAGAATAGTTACCTCTTGGGACACACCAACGTTTTGAAATAGATATGTATATTCTTCTGGAGATATTTTAGGGTGGTTGTCAGGTACGTCGTACAAATATCGATGAAAATAGAATATGAACGAAATGGATATGATCGCTGAAATTTGTCACAATTGTATACTATATGTATAACAAACCAAAAGGTATATTTGGACAATGGACAGACAGTTTATATTGAATGTAGTTGAACAAACAAGGAACCTATAAAAAAACCTTTTGTTCTGATCAATATTTTTAATTTTTCTTTTTTTCTATATAATTTATTGATATGAGCGCTACACATTTAATATAATTTGTAAAATATAAATATATCTGTGTTAATTTGGTTTAAATATTTTGTGAAAATTTCAAATTAGTCAATAATATATATATAATAGGAGCGTTTCGACGATTAAGGCGGGTTTCCACTATAGGTACCAGGTACGCATGTGCTGTGTAGGTACACGTAAACTTACTGTTCTGCTATGTTTGATAACACGGTAACGTGGTTAACCATGTAGTAAACTAACCTAACCAACCATACACAGTAAAGGGTTTGCGCCAACGTGCAAGTGTAGTGGAAACCCGCCTTTATAGGGTCTGGTACTCTGGTTTACTGTATCTATCGGTATTTCGGTATAAATATGTACAAGGCCGTAACTGGGGGAGGGTCCAGGGGACCGGACMCCTCCATCCAATTTGTTTTTCAGTTRCGGCCTTGTAAAACGTAATATATAAAACTTGTATAATTATATATTGATAAAGGCCAGTGCGCGGACTTTTAAGTAATAATAGATATAATTTAGCATTCGACATTATACTAATAAGCAAGTATAGATTGCAATTACTGCAGTGAAATCCTCCCAACCATTTGTCATAATATTTAAATAGTCTGTAGACATTTAGCATCSGCCGGTCGCCATTTACCACCTGGTAATCTGCAGCGGTGATACCCGATTGAGCACGGTCGTTATCGGCCGACCTTTTAGACGACCCGATTGAGCACGATAAAAAAATAAAAATATTGTATACAACGTTGTCAGATTTTCACTAGTACCTACGTATGTTGTGTAGTAGATATTACCAATAGGTAATTACTAACACATTACTATATTAGTCGAAAACGATTTTACTATCGATCG